TATTTTTTATAGTTATTAACCCGGCTATGATTTTCTCCAAAACTACCAATTCAAATTGGATGTAATTTTTACTGAAGATAGAAGCGATGTTTGGCTATAACATATTAAAATTTAAATTATTTTAAATTACTCATAGTCTTTAAGCAATTTCTCAAGAACTACTAATCCAAATTGGCTAAAATTTTAATATGTTGTAGCCAAATATCATATCTAACTTTAATAAAAATTTTGGCCAATTTGAATGTGTAGTTGTGGAGAAAATGTCTGTCAGAGGTTAATATAAATCTCAAATTTATAATATATATGGGGGGGGTGCCAGTAGAAACCAAGCAAATCAAAATTTTTTCAAAAATGAGTTTTTTTTATTTAACTAACATAAAATTTTACAAGGAACATTTTTTACTTAATAATGAACCTCTTATTATTAATTACGTTTAGAATTTAAGTTCCACGAAATTTCATTTTGGTCGGAAACGATTTTCTGATCTTCATTAGATCGGAAAATGGATCATCCAAGCAAATTTATCTAATAAATTTGCTTAGTTTTATATCTTACAGATGACCGATCTTCAGGTGACGCGCGTCACCTGAAAATCGGCATCTGACGCGCGTCGGATTAGATCTGACGCAAGAATCGATCTGAGGCACAACAGTAACGTTAAAAAATTTAACCCCCAAAACATACCTACCTTTAAAAATATTAATTATGATTATGTCAACGACAGACGACCTCTCTGCAACAATGCCTTACAAAGATAGCTTCTCATATAAAAATGACAACATAAACGTTCTTAGAATTGAAAAAAACGTCCGAGCAATGATTGAAAGGATAAACAGTAATATCGCAAGGTTGTACTTTGTAAATAACCACGACGTTCAAATTCCAATTCCAGCGAATATTGTCCTTAGAGATGTAACCAGTAATCAGGATGAAGTGCCTTATCGTAATGAATATCTTATTTCTTGGGTTTCCGACTATATCTTGTTTCGTAATGGTGTTGCAGTTTTTGCTCTGGAGAATCAAAAACAACAGGCAATCAAGGGAGGGGCAGATCTGGAGACGGATCTAATCCAACAGTAGTTTGATTAGTTTGGAAGCTTATAAGGAAATTAATATGCAAAGTTAACAAATCATAGTAATTCCTAAATGAATAAAGGTTCAATTACGTGGACATAAAATGTGTGAAGCTTTGGGCAAATCATCACGTACAAATAAAGCTGACCCTCGCGGTGCATACATAATTGTGTTTACTTGCACTTCTAAATTTTATATCAAAATTTTTCTTGCCAAAAAGTGATCTGTATTCAAATTGGAAGACGTAATTTTTTTATTTTGAATATGTCTACCTGTATATTGTGTAAAACAATAGCAAATACGATTGCGTTAAAGTAAAAAATGTAAGGCCCGTAGAACTCCCTTTATTCATAAAAAATATTGCTGAAACGGCATGCAACTAGCAAAAAAAAAAATTTATTTTTATACAATATAATAAAAATTACAATAATTTCTGATCCCGGTAACGCTCTACAAGTACATTGATAATAGTTTGATCAGGATTACTACTTAGGTCATAAATCTTAGTATGAGAATGTATTTTTAGTATCTTCTATGGGTAGGAAAAAAATCTAAACCGACGAGAAATACTAGTTGACCCAGTTAGCAAGAGACAAACAGGCTTGAACTTGAATTTCTAATGAATTAATCCCATTTCCATTAAAAATCTTGATTTTAAAAAACGATATGGCAAGCAGAATGCGAAAGATAAATATCGATATAGCCATTATCCTTGGGAGTCACTAGTCTTGGGAAATTGGAATTGTTAATCTTGGGGTGGTGATATCATTAATACTGCTCATTTTATACTAAATATAAAAATTCATGGTAAGTAAAAATTCGTTTTTCATACTTCAGACAAGTAAAAAATATATACGATCAAAAAAAACGTCATTGGTACCCATCTTACAAGACAAAAAAGCGATGTATTTTATATTGTCCCATATTCATATCTGAAACCCCTCTTAAAAACAAGTACGTGATTAGTAATTACATTAATCAGCAACTCCTAGTCCCTTTTCATAATAAAACAAGTCTGTCTATTTCAAATATTGAGTTTATTTTGAAATTAGACCTCTTAAATTCGACGATCTCTCCTGCGAAGTAAAATAGACAACGATCTTGACGATCTGGGAATTCCAAGTTCCTGCGACATATGAATTTGGATAAAACTACTGATAAAGAATGCTATACTCTTTCTCCTTATAGCGTTTTTAAATCTTATTCGTGTTCGTCTTATCGCAGTATCATATAATAAGAAGGTCCTAAATATTATTTGTAATCTTAGTTAACGTTATTAATAAAAAATCAACCGTGAGAAAGATTCTGATCACAATTTTTTATGCGATATCTTAATGCTATAACTGATGACGCTTCGAGCGTGACCGAATTTTTGTGATATCATACGTACGCGGTTGAGTTAAAATAACGAGTAGTAGTAGTAGTAGTTCATAGGCCAGACATTCGTATGATTGAATGTTTAAATCAATTTAATTTTATATACATTATTTATACAGTTTAAAGTACTTTTTAAAAAAAATAAAACTACTACGAATAAACAAAAAAGAAGTATATAGA